AACCCAATCTCTGAATGTTGCTAAAGCTAAGAATCCTTCTTTACGTCTCCTCTGGCCCCCTCTGAGCTGTGCCTACCTTGTGTGGACAATCAGGTGCCTCCCATTTGGTTCACCACTGGCTGAGAACTCCTTTTGAAGCTAATGGGCTCTCTTCTCTTATTTTTCTGCTTTTCTCGACCTCCTGTGTTCTAGACTGATGTGGATACATTTTGTAATCAATCAGTCTCTGCCTGTAACAGTTTTTTTTTTCCATTAATACTTGTTCAAACAGAAATTCAGATAAAGGTGTCCATTTGTAAGCAACAGGAAATGCCTGTCTCCTTTTCAGATATCCCTGCAAATACTCCAGGCTGATTTCCTCTGTGCTGAATGGTGATACTAAGTCAAACAAATATAAATGTTCACTGGTCTCTTTCAAGGATCTGATTTAGGAGTTTGTGGTACATTCAGGTCCACCCTCACCTCCTGCAGGAGAAGGGATTAATTCACCTGATCCTACCATCCAAAAGCCTTCATTAATGCATCTGTGCTGAGGGCTTGCACAAGGCATGGTCTGTGGAGCCAGTGGAGCTCAAAGCTCCTGACATGTGACAGAATTCTCCCATCAAAGAGTTGCGTCCTCACAGTGTTTAACTTTGGGGATTAGAGGTCATCTCAGCTTTGAGAGTCTGCAGGCATGAAACTGCAAACTCTTCTCATTGCAAAGAGCCACTCTGACATTTATCTCAGCTCTTGCTTTATCCTGCTCAGAAGGTGATGGCATTCTGAATTAGGCTCCCTAGATGCTTTTGCTTTCAGCCTGCCTCTTTCCTCCAGAGTAATCCAGTTTATGATTAAATCACTGGTGGCCATGTGCATGAATCCAGGCACAGGGAACTGCATTTATGTGCTAGAGTGTTTATCAGTCAGTAGTCACTTTGGGAATGTATCTCCTTAGGGACAAATAACCTGAGGAGAGGAAGAACAGAATTCCCTAGGGATATGTTTCTGTTTGTTACGACTGGCTTTGGCCACGGACGTCTGGGTATAGACTCGATCCCTGGAAGACTCTGTGAGAAGTTTGAGTTTTAGGCTGCCCTGGAACACAGATAAGTACACCAGGCCAGCACATCTGCTCACTGTGAGGTGCCCTGGTGTGGCATTTCAGCTGCAGCCAGGCACAACCCTGCTGAGCACCTCAGGCCCATCACACCTCTGACAGCACTGGCTTGTGTTCCACCTCTGCCTCGGTCATCAGCACCTCTTGCCTGATTGCTCTTGGAGAGGAAAACTGGGCTGAACTAAGAAGCATCCTAATGGAAGGAAGTCCTCTCCTCCTCCCAACCATGCACAGAAGGCCTCTCAGTCTTGGATTGACCCCAGGTCCTGGAGCTACAGCGGCAGCTTTGGCACGTTGCTCTCCCATCCTCATCAGACACTTCCCCAGCCACGTGGGCTCTTTCCTGCTGGTGGGCAAGGTTGTGACAAAAGTGCAAACACAGGTGTCCATCCTGGCCTTTTAGCAGCAATTAACCTTTACTCCTGGGTTTCCTTTGAAGCTTGCTCATGTTTTTATCGTAAAATAGCAGTGAAGAATTTAATGGAGACTAATATCTAAGCTTCCACATAACCTAATCTCATCTGTTCCCTTATCAGGGACTTAATTTTTTATTTCATCCCATTTATGGTGGGGATAATTATTGGAATTTAAGGAGGCCATCTTGAATTTCAAAACTGGAGGGTTATCTGTGTGAACAATTTGCAGTTCACTGTGAAAATGATGCTTATCAGCACAGTCCCTGTGTCCAATTCTAACCTTACAAAGGTTTTCCATCAGTCAATATCCTATGGTTTTGCTGGAAGTCCCTCTGATCCATGTGGGTGTAAATTTTAAGACAAATAGTCATATACTCTTTGAAAATTAAGACCAGAACCTTGGTTCATGTACATTGATTTTAACAGAGCTGCTTCTATCATTAATTTCACAAATACATCTTAATGGTCTTCCCCATCTCTTGGTCAGTCATAATTCAATTCTGTGTCTATTTTGAGGCTTAAAAATATTTTTTTTGCTAGAATACATTGCTACTTCATTCAAAGGACTATTTCAGTAATCCATTTTACCCACACTTAGAGCTTTGGGGCATAGAGGTGTATTATATTTTCCAGAGCGTTTTAGCTGAAAGCTTGTGTTTAATGACAACATCGGGTGTGGCTGCTGGAAATCAAAGGAGGCACAATAGACCCAGCAAACGGACTTGTCTCCCTGCCAGGCTTCCAGAGGCCAATTTATCAGCTGCAGGTTTGACCCTATATGGCTAAAAATGAGCGTAGCCAGAATGACTGAGATAAGTATAACTGAGGCCTTTGAGTCTGCGAGAGAGAAATTAAACTGGACTGTCCCTGGGGAAGACGAAACATCTGTAAAGCTGTGCTTGCTAAATGTTTGAGGCTCAGCTTGTTCTGGCTCGTGGGCAGGCACTGCTGGCAAGTGGAGCTGAGGAAGGTGGCCCTTTGGGACAGGCACAGAGCAGGTCATTGCTTGCTGTGACTTAAATTATTTGGCTGAGGTGCTCTGTTATTTTGTGAAGGGGAGTTGACTATGGGACACAGAGAGCCTTGGTTTTAAGGGGTACTGCTTGGCAGGACAGGGACAACAGCAGTGACTGTGTGAGATGGGCTTTTTAAGGAGTTTGAGTGTCAGGCACCCAGCTGTCATGGGAAATCAGTGGGATTTAGATGCCTGAAGTTTTTACCCCCGGCGCCCCCCTTCCAGTGAGCCATGTGCTTATCATCATCCAGATCACTTTCCTTGTGTGATTTTTCTTCCTGCACCCCATGTGTATACATGGGTTAGGCTTTTTTTTTTTTTTTTTTTTTTTTTAACCCCTGTTTCAAAAACAGCTGAAGTCTTTTAGGCAGGACTGCAATCTAAACAGTTGGGGGAAGACATCTGAGCAGGAGCACGCCTGCCCTGAATGGATGCAGCATCACTGCCAGCCTGCAAAGTCAGGGAGCATGTTCAAGTTTTGGGGGGTGCTCAGGAGGTGTGGATGGACCTCTGTCACCTGTCCCATCATGCTGGAGCATGGCAGTGTTGGGGAAGCAGCAGTGCCATGGTGTAACAGAGATGGCTGCTGGAAGGGGTTGTCTCAGTGCAGGGCAAAGTGAGTGGTGGCATCCAGTTAGGGCTGTGTTTCTATCCTTTCCATGCCCTCTTTCCCATCCTTTGGAGTCCCAAATAAGTGGTGTTGAGGGCAGGAAGATGTGGCATGGGCTCATAAGTGGTAGGCACAGAGCAAGCTCTCTGCACCAGTGCTTTCACGAGCCCTTGAGAATAATTTCCAAAGTCAGCTATGACAGGTAGCATTTCTGAACCATAAGCAACAGAAAATCCCTCTGTGTGTGCTTCTCAGTTAAATGGTGGAGTCAGTCAAGATTTTCTACTTCTCAGAATGCCAGGTATTAGGAAAGTGACAAACTAATCAATATTGGGTTCAGTTGTTAAAGGGCAGGCAGGGTCTGCCAAACCGGAGGTTGAGGGGATGGGTAGCTGAACTTTCCTGTGACATGGATGAGGTCATAGCCAGTGCCACATAAAAGAAAGAAAAACAGTTCATGGCTATGAATAAATTGCTCACAGATGAAGAATCCAGTTTGCCAGTCCTGTGATGGGAGCAATCTATTCCAATGATTTGTTATGTCCCAGTGTTTGTCTTAGGCAGTACCAGAAGCATGAAAGTACAGATATAAAACCATGAGATTATATGTAACAAAGATGTGAGAGACAATGGGCTATGACCAGCTTCCAGTGGAAAAGGCATACGGTGCTAATCTACCATGGATAGTTTCTTAAATGAGCAAGAAATTGAAAGAACATTTTAAAGTTTCCTGTTTCTTCACTGAAACAGAGTCATTCTGAAAGCCAAGCCCAGTGTAACGCTTTCATTTCTGGGCTAACAATATAATGCAAATATCCTCAAGCTCAGGTTTTAAATACCTGATCTCTCAGTCTCTTCAGTCCTTGGAGAACAGTATTCTCACCTGCTATTTGAATTAAGTGGAATGAGTTCAGGTGTGTATAAAAACCTAAGAATATGAATAAGTTAAATGGATATAAATAGTAAAGAAGGTTTTCTTGGTTGGTTTTGCTGTTTTGCTCCTTTTACAAGTGTTAGATTGAACACTGTACTGCTGGTGCAGCTAAAGCCCCTGCTGAAGTAACTCAGAGTTTCTGACTAAAAGGAATTTACAATCAGTCTTATGTTTTAGGTTGTCAAAAATAGTGAGTTTTTCTTTTATTCTTTTATTTTTGTTTGCTGGCTAAGCCCCAGAGATGAAGATTTGTTTGTTTTTTTAAAATGTGTTTTGGGTCTGCCCCAGATTTTTTTGCAACTGTAAGAGGAGAAGGTTCATGTTCTCTATAAGGTGCTGTTTGGATCCTGAACTTATTTTAGACCATTGCATTTCTTGGAGGTCAATGGTAAGACACTTATTTACATCAGCTGAAGTTCTTGCCAGGAACTTCAAGAGTTGTGTGGTAGGCTGGATCCTTTCTCTGAAGACTAATTGGAGGCCATCAAACTTAATTTTGGCTACTTTAGGTTCAATCTGTCTCTCTGCAAGACCAGTAAAGCTTTCCTGCTTTTCACTTCTCTTAGATTTCAGTTGTAAGATGTAATGCTGGATTGTAATTTCAAAGCACGTGTGGGTGCAGCGCTGCATCCGGACCCGACTGGACAATGGGGTGTGCCTGCCTTTACATCTGTGTGCAATTCCCTCGCCTGTGCTCAGTGATGCAAACCACTTTTGATGTCAGGAATATTGAGAAACACTGTGTTACCCCCAGGCCTATGCTGGAGAAAAGGCTCAGCTCCAGCCAGGGTGAGGCTCTGCTGCAGGATTAGTGATTGGTGAAGTCTCCCAAACTGTCCCTTCCATTCCATGTGCAGGCTGAGAGAGTTTCATGTACAAAATCTGTCAGGGTGTTTAAAATCCTACTGTTTGGCTTTCTTTTCCAGGTGATGAATGTTTGTATGAGAGCTTTCCAGAACTTCCCTTGGGGGAAGTGCCAGAAGCTGATGGAGAGGCTGCAAATGTCCAATGTCCAACATCTGTCAGCATCCAAGAGCCGTCTTCTCCAGCAACCTCCAGTGAAGCTTTCACACCCAAGGAGAGCTCTCCTTACAAGGCTCCAATATACATTCCTGATGACATCCCCATTCCTTCAGAATTTGAGCTCAGAGAATCCAACATTCCTGGAGCAGGATTAGGGATATGGACCAAAAGGAAGATTGAAGCAGGGGAAAAATTTGGCCCTTTTGTAGGAGAGCAGCGGCCACACCTGAAGGATCCCAGTTATGGCTGGGAGGTAAGATACTGTACATTCTTTTGGTCTGTTGAGTTCTTGTGTGTTTATCTATAAACACAGAAATATTTGCAGAATTTGAGTCTTATCCTGCAGCAGCCAAAGCATATTTATGTGGACAAACTGCTTTGTGGCCTTTTGGGTTTTTGTGGATGGAGACAAGAGTAAATTGAAAAAGAAAAAAGTCAGGAATTAATATTGCTCTTCATATATGAAATCTGCCTGGGTGGATATTGGCAGGTGATGCTCCTTTTGAGGAAAGTGAGGAAAAAATGTTGTTGGAACATTTCTATACCATTTTTAATCAGGTCTGGGATAGTTCTGCATTATGTCTCTGGGTGAGGGATTTGCAAAATCACTGCATTATAGATTTGAGATGAAACTGGGTGCTGCTTTCAGGATTGTGAATCACTACTTTCTGTCAACAATGATTAAAATAGCCCTTAAATCTACTGTTGTATGGCTAAACCTGCTATTGAATAATGTTGTGCTGCTTGGGGCCTTCAAAGTGTGGGGGGTTGATCCTACTTCCATTTAACTGAATGGGAATTCTGCCATTCATTTGGTGAAGTAGGTTTGGGTGTTAGTGCCACACGCAGCACACATGGGAATGGTGTGGTTCATGTTACTTCTGCAGATCCTTTTTGGGAAATCCTTTTCCTGAAGGATTGGACTCCTCTGGTGCGTACAGGTGTTGGATCTTGCTTTCCCTTCCTTCAGGGACATCACTTTCCTCACTGTGGTATCACTGGGGATCTGTCTGAGCTCCTGGTCCATGGCCAGGTCAGGGATTCAAACATCAAGTGGTGCTGCTGTTGTGTTATGATGTAACAAATGTTCCTGCGTGGCTTTATTCACCATTTTAACAATGTGCTGTAGGAACAGAGCACAATCTCTGCTTTCCATCTGTGCGTTTCCTTTGGTTTGTGATAAGAGGAGCCGTGCAGGGTTTGCATGGCTCTCCAGGGGCACGCCTGACCTCTGGAGAGATGGGAGTTCATTTTCCCAGGAAAAATGGAGTTTCGTTGTGGAGCAGAGCCTTGCAGATATGGTGGAAAATGGAAGCTTGATTTGCTCTTAACTATCCATAAACACTCAGGGAGTTCATTATGAACTTTCCATCCAGCTGTTTAAACTCTGGTGAGACCTGTGACAATGTGACAGAATAGTGTCATGAGAAATCATAGACTTGGCAGCACTCTGTTGAGTTAACAGACTGTGATGCAATATAATCGCTAGTGAGAAATCTTCATTATTTGAAAAAGGCACCAGGAAACCATAAAATCTGACCTTTAACCACACCACAATTAAGCTCAAATATTGATAACAGAAATTAAAGCAAAACTGTTGATACTTGGCTGTACTTGCAGGTTTAGCATTATTCCAGAATTTAGGGTATTTTTAGACTGGACACTCAAGTGGTGTAAAACAGGATAATCCCACTAAGATTGAGGGAAACCCATCAAGCTTTTCACACCCTTAGCTGCTGGCAATATGTTACAATATTAGAGACTGGTTTTCCTCCTTGAAATATTTCAGATTTTGGGGTCTGTGATATTCAGACAAGAAATTAATATCTTGATAGTGCTGGAAGCCCAGCTGGCAATCTGAATCCCTTTCAAGCTGCAGAACTTGTGCCATTTGAATAGTGTTATGTATCTGGGACAGCTGGGGCAAGCTATTGAAAAGTGTTGGAGCAAAATCACACAAAATCAACAGTCAAGTCCCTCAGCAATTTGGTCACTCACCCAGAAGTATTCTGTGATGCTTAGAGGAACTTGGAACTGAATATTTTTCCAACAAGTGTGTTAAATACATTTTCTGTAGTTGAAGGGAGATGAAGAAATTCTGGTTACCAGAGATTACACAGTGAGTAAAATGGCAGATAGTGATGGCTGGGGTAAAGGAGGGATGTGGGGGTACCTGCTAGTGCTGGAGAGGACTTCAGTGATGCTCATTCCACCCCAGATGCTCATCACCACACTCCTCTGGAGTCCACCACTTCCTTGGGCTCGTGCTTTGGGTATTACAGGGGTAAAGAAGCTGAAACTGGTGTGTGAGCTCAGGCAGTGCTAAAGGCAGTGTGGGACGGTGAGGAAAATTATAATTTACTGAGGTTTAAGTACAGTCTTGGAAATTTCAGCTTTTCTGGTGCTGTTGTTTTCTGCTTAAATGGGCACTTTTGAGACACAAGGTGTATGTCCAGCCAGGTGCCAACAAGTCAGTGAACAAATGAGAATTCATTCTGCTGTTGCAAATAATCAAGGGGAAATTTCATTTCAATCTTAAATGGAGGAAGGATAGAACCAAAGTTTCTGTGTGGCACAGGGTGTGGGTTTTAAGTGACTTTGCAGCATGAGAGGTTTTTAAATCTTTCCGCTTGTTTGATGAGAGAATTGTATTGATGCAGATTGTTACATGATGCTCTCTTATGTTTGATTACCTGTAATTCCTGGGATAGTTCATGGTGTTGTAGAAGCCAGCTGGTGACTTCAGGAAGGGTGTCCCAAGCTGCTCATGTTGCTCCTGGTCCCACAGGCCAAAGAAAGTGTTTTGCTGTGTCCAGGCATATTCATTTCTTCACTTCTTGTCTGCAGTGCTCCAAGAAGTGCATAGTGGGATTACACCATTGCTACTATTTGTGTACTTACCTCTTGAGTACGTTCCCCCGTGACTGCAGACAGGATGTTGAAGTTATTAAAAATATCAGTCTTTTCATTTTATCTGAGTTTAAGCTGGAACACTTAATGTACAATGGTGTTTGGCTTTTAAAGGTGATAAAGGAAGATACATTTTTTTGAGGAAGACAAACATTAAAATTTTGAAGAAAAGATGGGTATCTTCCTCAGCCTTTTCCTGATGGTGCATGTATTATCCATTTTGTTATGAAACATTTGCTCTGCTTTTGCAATTGTTTAGCATTGCTAGGTAGTCTAAAATCTTACATTAGAAAATTTTAACTGAAAATCCTATACCTTCACCTTGGAGAGAGGAGTTTTCAGTTACACACACATTTGGACTGTAACTACATTTTTGGAAAAGACTTTTTTTTTCCCTTGCAAAAGCTTGTCATAGTTTTGGGTATTTCCAGCTGTGGGATACTTCTGACTTCCATTTTTTGTGACTGATATCCATCTGAGTTGATACTGGGATCAGCCTGGGGGAACTGCTGCTGTTAAACTGTTCTGCAGCCAGACAGTTGATGATAAAGAAAAATTTTCTGCAGGAGGCTGAGGAATTTCATGGAGCCTGTTCCTACATTCCCCTATAGCAAAACTCCCTATGGGATCAACGCAGAGTTCTGTCAGAGCAAGTCCAAGAAAACAATGTCTATTGTGTCCATTTATACAGTTCAGCCATAAAACACACTCTGGGACAAAAAGAATTTGTTGTGATATAGTTGTGCTTGGGTCATGATTAGAGTGCTGTAGATCAGTTTAAATGAAAAGCCATAAATTTGAATTTTATCTCATTTTGTTGGGCTAGAGTTGAGCATTATCTAATCAGGTATTGGTTAGCTAAAGTACAAATCGAACAGGGGGTCACCGGACAAGGGGAAAGGTCGAGCTTTTTTGCAGTTTGTCACTGGGGTTTTAGTGTTTGCCGGCAGCCCCAATATCCGAGGGGGTCGGGAGGCTGTTGCTCGGTGCTTGTTTGAAAAGGGAAAATTGACTGCTGCTTAATCAACAAAGAAAACAAGCTTTTAAGGGATGGCAGTAATTTTTTTTAAACAAAAGCAAGGGAGCACAAATTTAGTGATTTCATCGTGGTTCATGCCCTGCTATGAAAAACAACCGGCAGAGCATTTCAAAGCAAGGCTTTGAGTCGGTCACCAAAGCACATGCACCCACCTTGGACCAGAGGATGGCCAATACCCAAATTCAGGTCTCTTGCTGCTCTAGCAAACTGAGGCTCATTCATAAGAACAAATTCTCCACAGCTCTTTTGATCCTAAAGTTTTATTTCTTTACTAGGAGGGCAAAACCGGGAGCAATAAACTCTAATAAATCAAACCTGTCACAGAAGTAAAAAAATATTTTAGAGCTTTATAAAGCAGCATATAATCTGTTTATAGAGCAGAGTATATTTTCCTGTCATGCCAGTGAGGCTGAAAAACAACTCATATTTGGTAGAGTATGCTTGAGCTGATGCTATTGCTTCTAAATGGAAATTAGGAGGCCATTTGGCTATTTATTTATGTCTCCTCTAACATTTTTCATGTGAGTCCTTGGAGAAAACTGCATAGCTTCCTAAAAATTGTTCTGGAGTAAGAGCTTCCCATTAGTTTGTAGGGACTGGAATAGTTGCAGTTTCAAGCTTTAATTCTACACTCTTTTGCTTTCTTTTGGCAGTTTTAAAAATTAGATTTATTTGAGATGCTGGGGTTTTAGGTGTACCATATATTGCTAAGAAAATTAAATAATATGTTAAAAAAAAAATGCAGTACAGGCTTTTAGAGATGAAATCTAATATAGATGCTCCCAATAGCTTGGTTTTCTTAGCATCCAAAAACTTGTACAGTAATCACCAGGAGTTACCAGTCAATTACTGTCTACAGATGTTAGCTCCTATTTTTGGGTCCTTCTTGGGAAAAATCTATGCCAGAATGTTAAAAGAAGCATTGTTTTTTGTTTTGTTTTTAATAAAAACAGAGCAAAAAAATCTTGTCTTCTAAATAACTTCATGTGGAATTCACACATCTTAAACTCGAGCTAAGCTATTTTTAGTAAACAGTGACAGTGCTGAGGGAAATAACTCCTTCATAGTCAGGAAAATCACTCTGGGAGAAAGCAGTAGATAATGTTTGTTTTCAAAAAGAAAAATAGAAGGAACAAAGACTTTATCACTTGTGAATATTTTTCTTTGGGATATGGAGTGTGTCCTAGTGTTAAATAAAAAAAACCCCTTGATTTTCTGCTGTTGTTTGATGCTTTCACACTGCCACTGGTCTGTGACTTTTACAGACCAAATCTTGGCTTTTTCTTGAATTGTTTTCAACAGCA